ATCCAAAGGACAAACGAAACATTTAAAAGCTGCAGGCTGGACAGTCTTTGCTTTGGAGCCGGCAGTGAATTCCTTCATCCTGACAGTGGAGCCATCCTTCTTAGCGCTGTTGCAGGATTTAGCATCCAGGAGGAGCGAGGTGCTGAGCGAGGCAGAGCCGGGCGCGGCCTGCGGGCTCCACGCCCGCCCCAGATGCCCTCCCTGGCCGCGTCCGCTTCGCCCGGCGCTGCACCTCGCTCGGCACCTACAGCCTCTTCTGCTCCTTTTTTTTTTTATTGTGGAAAAATACATAAAATTTGCCATGAGTGACATTTAGTGGATTCACAATGTTGGCTACTCCTAGACATTTCCATCACCCGAGAAGAAAACCCTAACTTATTAGCAGTCACCCCCCACCCCCCTCTTCCTCCAGCCCCCGGCAACCACTAATTTGCCTCTGTCTCTGTGGATTTGCCTGGTCTGGACCTTCCATATAAATGGAATCGGACAGTACGTGGCCCTTTGGGCTTGGCGCCTTTCACTCCGCACGTGGTCAGGGTTCATCCATGTCGCGTGTGTGATAACTTCGTTCCCTTTTTATGGCTGCGTGGCATCCTGTCACGTGACTCCCCATGTTTTGTCTGTCCGTCCATCCGCTGATGGACACTGTGCTCTTCCCACCCTGGCCGTTGTGAGTAACGCTGCATGAACGTTCGCAGACGCGTTTTTGTTCGAGTTCCTGTTGCCACTTCTTTGGGGCACGCCCTCTTCTCGTCTGAGAATTCTGTGAATATCCTGGGCTGGACTTGGGTCTGAGAGGCAACAGATAAGCGGGAAAGGTCATGCACACCCTGGGAGTCGGGCGCCGGGGTCCTGGTTTCGCTCAGCCACGAACGTGCTGGACCTGGGCAAGTCCTTTCTGTTCCCTGTGCCTCGGTGTCCTGCTCTGTACAAAGACTCACTGATCTGTGACTCCACCTGCCTTGTTCGGAGCCCTGCGACGGTGCAACTTCGGGGAAACGGGGCAGGGCGGATGGTCGGGCTAAAGAGCCTTGATTTCAGACATTTTCTTCTCTTCGGCTAGAGCACCTCTTTGTCATTTTTGTTGGCCTTGAGAGGAGACATTTTAAACAAGTTTCGTGGATATAAGGAATTTTCCCTCTCACTGAGGTAGATGAATCATGCAAGGGTTTTTGGTTGGCAATGGGCTGGATCCTGCTGGAAGGGGAGCCCCGACTCGTGGGGACTCGCTCTGGCTCCTCCTGGTCTCTGGGGGCAGGTGGGACGGTGAAGTGACTCTGGGTCAGTGGAGGGCAGGAGGCCGTTGGCCTGCGCTGGGGAAAGCGTGGCTGTCCACATGCGGGCTTTTCTCTTCTCTGTTTGAGCTCATGGCTGTCCTCTAAGATGTTAGGAACAAGAGTGGAGAGTGTGGGCTCTGGAACCATTCTGCATGGCTTCGGGTTCTGGCTCTGCAGAGACTAGCTGTGTGACCTTGGGCAAACCACTTAACTGCTCTGTGCCTCGGCTGCCCCCCCAGTAAAATGCGTATGGTTCCTATGTCAGAGTTTGCTGTGAGGGTTAAGTGAGGTTACCTTCCATGGGGCCCTGGAGCAGTACCCGGCCTTGGGCATCAGTCTGCCGCCGTTAGCCATTGTGATGGTTACAGTGACACGGACGGTAACGTCCCTCTCCCCCCGAGATCACTCCCCTTCCTGGTCCAGCAGACTCTCCCTGCTCTGAATTTTGGTGGTTCTTACTTTCCTCCACCCTACTTAGCATCTAAATAGTCTGCGTGGTTCCTTGGTATATGTAGAGCGATCTCTCCAAGCGGTTCCTACACTTTGAGAAAGCAGAGTCCCACCCGCGGTCTGCCAACCCGATGACGAGGTGGGCCAAGACCCAGATGAGGGAAAGGGGCCGGACAGACTGGGAGTCATGGGTCTGGGAGTGACCAGGCGACTCAGCCATGCCCAGCCCTGCCCAGCCGGGAGCCAGGCAGCAGGGTGGCGACGTCCCTGGGGGTCGAAGTCAGCTCTGGGGCCTAGGCAACTTGAGCAGGACAGAGGCTGGAGTGTAGGTCTAGACATTTCGTTTCCTTTGCTCAGTAAGGCTGCTCCTAAGTGGGATGGATGGTCCACCGAGGTGACTCTCTGTGGGAGGCATCATTGCTTCCTTGGGGGCGGAGAAGGGAGTGTCTCATTCTCAAAGATAGTCCACAAAGCAGTGTGACTTCCCGGGGCCTCTGCTTGCACAGCAGCTCAGCAGACCTGCGACGGCCCCCAGGGTGTGGTCACTGGCTCACTCAGGAAATATCTGTAGACTAAATACTGACTGCAGTAAGGGGTCCAAGGAGCGACCTCTTTGAGGAACGGCAGCAGTGGGGGGACCGCACTAGGTTGGGGTAAGGGGTGGCTGAGGGGTGTTCACGCAGGTCTCGTTTGGGCATCTGCATCCTCGGAATGCTGTAGTAGGTCTGGAGGTGACCGGGATGCACTGTGTCCCCATCCTTCTGGGCCAGGAGGGGTCACTTAGCTCTCAGCATCATCCCAGGCAAGGACGTGGGTCTGAGAGGTCCGATTGGCACAGGCCGCTCTGGACACCCAGCCGCAGATTCAGGTAGATGGACTGATCCACATCAGGGGCTTGGTTTAGCCGCGTACCGACTCCAGCAGCCGTCTGCTCTCACCGTCCTGGGAAACCAAATGGGCGCCAATGCGTAAGTGGAGGGACAGACGTCAGCCGACTCTGCACGGTTACAGGGGTGGGGCCAGTTGTGGGCGCAGGAGAGTGTAGGCGGGGATCCGTGAAGGTGACTGTCCCTTTATCTTCTGATGCACTGTGTGGTACCTGCGACCTCGGCAGGGGCCTCTGGACAGGCGGCTCACACCACGTGGACCTCGGAATGATGGTGACGGTGGCTTCAGCTGCGGACATCGATCTGTGCACTGTGTTAAGAATTGTGGCACCTCACAGCTGCCACACGTCATCCCAGCGCCGTGAAACTGAGGTCCAGACAGTTAAGTCATGTGCGTAGGGCCTGACAGCTGTTAAGTGGCAGAGCCGGGTCTGCTTGCTTCCGAAGCACATGTCCTCAACCGTGATACCGTGTCACCTTCCCACAGCGACTGAGTTAGTTGAACCTCCGGTGAGCGTTTATCCAGGAACTGCGTGTTTTTGCTGCTTGTAAGTTCTCACTTCAACTCTCTTTAGTAATGAACGTACACAGATGCAACACACTCAGGACACACACACAGACACTCACGCTCACTTATGGAAGCACATTCATTTCTGTAATGCCCGCCCCCATCCATCCACCTTCCCGTCCATCCATCTGTGTAACCAACATTCATCGGGACGCTCCGAGGTCCCCAGAGTGCATCGGTGATGACATATTACTTGCCCTTAGGGAGCTCATGGTCCAGTGGTGGATGCCACTCAAGTAAACGAGCAGTTGGGATGCACAGTGATAAACCCCGCACAGTGGCAGGTGCCAGGTACCGTGGGGCACACGGGGTGGGTGACCAGCCCTGTCATGAAGAGTTAGGAGGGCCAGCCCAAGGAGCTGGTCTCTGTCTCTCGCGAGACCTCAGGGAAAGCGTTTTCCCAGGCTAGGACATAGCATACGAAAGGCTCAGGGATGAGAGAGGACCATGTGCTCATCCATCAGCTTCTTTGGTGCAATGAGTGATGGAAACCCATGCAATGAGGCAGCACGGGCCACTGCTTCCCAGTGCCTGGTGGAAGGGCCGGGCTTCTGGACCGAGCTGGCTTGGGCTCCAGGTACTGGTCACTGGCCACCCCGTGGTCACAGCTGGTTTCCGTGATTACGTGAGACCCTGACCGCCACCTGGGCCTGCGGCCTTTACACTTTGTAGCATGGCTGGTGTTTTCTACTTTAACTTGCTCTGCTTACCTGGTTTCGGTGATGGTCTCTTTTTCTTCAAGGCTAAGTTTAGTGTCTGGTCACAGGCGTCAGCTCCCTTATGTCCGAGCCCAGCGGAGGCTCACCGCAGAGGAAGGCTGCGAGCCTCTGGTCGGGTGGGTGACCCCAGCCCGGGGAGCCCTCGAAGAGGCCTGGCTGCCCAGAAAGGCCAGGCTGAGGTCTCTTCTCTGCTTGTTTTCGATAGTCAAGGGCAGCAGCTCTGTGTCGTATCGTTGCCAAGATCAAGGGAAACGTGTCCTAGTGCAACCTTAACTTAACTTACAATCCCTGCCAATTCCACGTTAGCAGATCCGTTTGGAGCTGAAAGTAATGGGCCATATCATGCCTCGGAGCCGGAGCAATGACTTATGTTGATGTCACCCACTGGCTTTTTATGGAAATTATTAATAAATCAGTAATTCTATCTGCGGTGATGTTGTTGTGTTTATAAATATTTAATTTACCTCCAGGTGCCCACATTTTCTCCGTCTTTGCCTTAAACTCTGCTGACATCACTCTTCTTTCTCCAGTGCTGCTCAATAGACTCAGTTAGCAGCAGTGGGAAAGGTTAACTTTCTCTCTCTCTTCCTGGAGTATGGCTTTATCGTTTCTTTTTAATCTACGTGTGATTTGGCTCAGGGGGCTGGGAATCAGGCTGAGAGAATGCGGCGTCTCTTGTGACGATGATGAAAAATCAGTCCGGCGTCTGAAGGAGACAGAGTGAACTTTCCAATTATGACCTTGCGTGAGCAGACCTGTTGTTGGAGTGTGTTTTTCCCTCCTTCAAATTAATGACATTTGGAATCCAAAATGGTGTCTGATGTTTTCCCCCCGCAGAGAAATATCTTTATCCTCACCACAGACTCAGCTTTTGAAACACAATGCTTTGATTATTGTTGTAGAGCAGGTTGAATGGAAAGGGCTTAAAAAAAAAAATCAAAATAGAAACACAGCCCGGGTCGAGGGTTTTCTGGCAGAGATGGGGTCCCAGCCTCGCAGAGGAGGACAGCGGCTGGGGACGGCAAAATCTTTCTTAGCTCTCGGGATCCGACATGACCTAATTGTTGTTATTATCTTTTTATTCTTCTGTTTCAGGAAATTGCAGCTTATTTAATAACATTTGAGAAACACGAAGAATGGCTAACCACATCCCCTAAGACAAGGTAATGTCCCAGATCTTGCCGTTTTTCAAATATATGCAGTAAATGGATTGATTTTCGTTGATGACCTGATTTGGCCAGTCCATTCGTGGGCAAGCTGAAAATGCCATGTTGTGTTTGATAGCTCGTGACACTGAGGTCTCATCGTCTGTCCTAAGACCGTGGTTGCAAATGCTATGAGGCGGCTTAGAAACAGCACAGCCACCGTCATGCAGGTCGGAACTTTTAACCTGATAGCCGAACGTCTGATCCTTCGGCCGGGCGCTCCGAGAGCCTTGGCGGGTGGGAGTGTCCGGGGTCGATTCGGGGAAAGTCCCCGCCTGCCAACTGTTTCTCTGGAAAGTGCCCACCTGCCACCAGTGTCCTCTAGAAACTTACTTTTCAAAAGGGAAACTACGTCCACTGTCCACTTTCATCTCAATGCTCTTTACCAGTTGTTCTCGTTTCGCGAGTTATTCTTCGTGGTAGTAGAGTCTCCTACATCAGAAGCGACGGCTGGGTTTGCAGTTTATTACGCAGTCAGCGTCCTTGAATCTGCCAAATGCCACAAACGCTGAGCTGCTCTCGCCGCGTGGGACTAGAGGGAATTGGCGGAGATACAGCCCACTTGTGTCTTGCCGGCGCGGTGGCAGCATTTTGTGAAGCTGGGGTTTGGGGTTTATCTTAAAGGCAGCCTCTTCTTTCCTCCCCAGTTCTGTTTTTGTATGCGACATGTCACATTCTAGAGCTTCGGAAACACGTGGCCACTCTCTTCCAATTGCCACCACTTTTTTTATTAGCGGTGACAGGGCCAGGTGTTTACTAGTTTGAAGAGCGTGGCTTACAGGATGTCTGGGCTGTGGGTTGGATTTAAGAGGTGAAATGCTCAGTCTGTTTCACTTTGGGTAGAGCACTGAATTTTCCAGGTTTGTCAACTGGGACCAGAGAAAGGAATGGGGGTGTGTCCTCTGCCCCTGTGGCCATCAGCTTGACCTATGCCTCCTTTCTGAGCCACAGAAGAAAGAAGGTCTTGTCCTCTGGGATGTCTACTCATTCTAGAAGGTACTTAAAAATCCTACTTCGTTGGGCTTAGGTTTTAACATGGTAAGTGAGGGCAAAATCTGCCCTTCGGAGGCGGTCAGAGGCTACCGAGGAGAGGGAGGATTGTGCCTGAGATTCACGTCCCCCAGGTGGGGTAGAGGTTGGCCCTGAGGCTTCTTCTACTTTTCCACCTGAATCCCTCTGCAGGATGTCCTCAACTCCTCAGCCTCCTGGGGCCATGCTTTCCTTTGCTATTAAATCAAGTGGTTTGTATCAGTCAGCTTTTGCTGTGATAATGCTATGTAAGAAGCAATCTCCAAACTTAATGACTTATGACAGTAGACTTTTATGTCTTGCTCACAGGTCTGTGGTTTGGCTGTGGCTTTGGGTTGAGTTCAAGACCACTCGATGTGTCTTTTTGTTCTAGGACCTAGGATGAGGAAGTGCCCACTGCCTAGCACATCTGATTCTGATGGAGGATGGCAGAGGCTTAAAAGCTCCAGGCAGTCCATGCAGGCATACCGAAAACCCCTGCTGGGTGTGGCTTCATGGGTCATGCCTGCTCACAGATCCATCAGCCAAAGCAATTCCCGTGGCCCAGCCCAGTGGGAGTGGGGCCAGGAAGGACATTTTCCCATAGATTGTGGGTGGGGACGGAGTGGATAGCGAAGGGTGACACAGTCTGCTATTTGTTGAGCACAGCTGCACCCCAGACTGCGGAAGGCCTGGTGCACCCATCTCTTTTCTTCTGGGGGCATCTCCTTGGAGGGTGGTTATTCCCGAATTTGAGCGGGCATCTGAATGAACAGGAGAGCTTTTTAAACCCACGCGCTGGGCCCCGCACCCAGAGTTTGATTCAGTAAGTCAGGTGTGGGGGCCGAGCATCCGCTCTTTCTGACGAGTTCCCAGGCGATGGGGCGCGGCCAGTCTCGGGCCTCGCTGTGGGGACCGCTGCCCCAGCTTCTCTGGGGAGAAGGAGGTCGGCCTGACAGCTGCCCCCGCACCATCTCCCGACTCCAAGCCACGGCTTCGGCCACTCTACGTGCCCTTCGCTCCTCGGCGAACACGCCTGGATCGGAGTGGAAGGAGAGACCGTCCCTGTAGCCAGAGAGCGGGATCTCTGGGCCGTGTCCGGGCCGATGTCTGATTCCAGTTACGCAGACACGCGTCCCGCTCGGCCGCCGTTGGACGCAGTGCAGCCTGTGTTTCAAGGAGGCGTTCCGCCCCGTGTTTCCGCCTTCGGGGCTTGGGTCGCAGCTGAGGGCGGGTGTCACTCATGGTCATGCCCGACTGCCTTGGCTTCTCGGAGTGTAAATAGAGCCAGGAGACCTCCCGCCCAGAGGCACAAGGAACGCGCGCGGCGGAGGAGAGGGATGTGGGTTTCAGATGCTGACCGACGCGGGTTGAGCCGTGGCCTGTCCCTCCATAGCTTTGTGGTGTTAAGAAGTCACTTTCGCCCCTTTAAAAGCTCCACCTTTTCTTCTTCATAATGGGGATGGAGCCGATGTTGACTCTCATAGGGGCTGAGTCAGGTCATATCTGTGGTCCTGTCTTGCGTGCCGTGAGGGCCTGTGTCACTCACTGCATGGGGACATCGCCGTTCCTCTTGTCGGCGAGGACAGTCCCCGGGCCGGAGGCTTCGGTGTCAGGAGGCCTCTACCAGGGTGTCTGCAGGCCCCAGAGGGACGGATTTCCTCCCTAGAGGCGGGGGGTGAAGACAGAACTTACTTAGTACCACAGTATCCACTCCGTGCTTACGCTTGAAAGCTTCCGTCCCAGGAGCAGGAAAAGTCGCTCCGGTTGTTCAAGGACCTTCCTAAATTAGTTGTCGAGTGGCGTTTGGGTCCCCCCGCTCCTGTCTCCAGGACTGAAATTAATCGGCGCAGTTAACTGCTGAGTTGACGCCAGCCAGCCTCCTGGCGTCAGGGGATTAATGGTGCCGACGCTCTGCCCTACGAGAAGGCGACGCAACTTCTGTTTGCCGCCGTCGCCGCCACTGCTAATTCCATTTCAGAAAATTAATAAAAATGAATTGCACCGCTGACATTTATAGAGTTTCCTAATAAAATGATGCATTGTTTGTGTGGAGGAATCCTTGTTAAATTAATTGTCGTAATCAGGTCCCATATAGATGTTGGTATAGAAGCTGCAGGGGGGGGCCCTCTCTTCGTCTCTGTGGCTCGCTGGTGGCTGGGGGTGACAAACGTAGCCCTCGCTCGATTTCTGCCCTAATTACAGAGAAGGTCCCGGGAGTCCCGCTCTGCTGCTTAATATGAGGTGTGGCTGCACGGAGGCTTCCGGGGTTCGGGGGGGGGGAACACTGAGACAGGGCCGAATGCTGAGTGTTCAAACAGCCCATATTGTATTATCAGCAACCGGGGCCTTCCAGACACGGTGGCTTGAAAAATCACCCTCTAGCGCGTCTTTATTTGGCGCTTGCCGTGTGCCCAGCCCTGTAAGAAGGCCGTTTGGGGGGTTCCAGGGAGCCTCCCACTCTGCCCCCCACGAGGTGGATTTAGAATCGTGGCATTAAGAGCGTCCTCCCTCTGTCGAGGATGTTCTTCTGGCTCCTCCCACTGGCTCCTCCTGGTTCGGGGGTCGCTGTCTGTGCGAGGTGTCCCCTGGACACAGTTTAAGGTCGCACCCAGGCCCCGGCCAGCCAGACCAGACCCCCTTTCCTCCCGTCTGACACACGATGTCATTCGCCTGCTTAGTTGTTTAATTTGTGTCCCCCGAGGCGAGGCGAGGGACTTTTGGTCCGGCTTGCGTGCGGGTGTCCCCAGCGCCCCCACTGGGGCTGGACATGTGGTGGGCGCCTAATTACTGTCTGTGGGTGTATGAGAGTGAGGCGGGAAGAGTCTGGGTGTTGCGAGGGAGGAGACTCGCTTTACTCTATTTTATTTTCGTCTCGTGTGTCCCCCTCCCCATCGGCCGCTTGACCGAGTGCCGTGGGTGGGGCACTGTGCGTTTAAATCCGTTTCGGCAGCTCTGCTAGGCAGGGAGATGCGGAGAGAACCCAGGATCTGGCCCAGCTTGCACGGCGAGTGTCAGAACTGGAAGCTGAAGGCCAGGTCACTGTACTGCCAAGCCCATGACCTTAGCTTCATGCTCTGCCGCTACCTCACTCCATGGGCGTGGGGTTGAGGTGGCCCTCAGCTCCTGTTCCCCTCCCGTCTCCATGACTTCGGAGCTGCCCGGGAGGCCCAGGCCACAGGCAGAGCCTTCCTTCTTTGGTGAGTGGGGCTCAGGCACAGTGGCCAGGTGGCTTCCTGTGCTGCATCCTGAACTGGATCTAGCTGCCTGTTGCAGGCCGAGCGGGAGGATGGCACTCCCCCCGTGGGGCCGAGCGCAGAGCTGGACAGAGCGCTGGCAGGTGGGCTGCAGACTCTGGCGACCCCAGTCATTTGTTTCTCCTCCACTGGGAGACGTACAGCCGTCCCTGGGAGCTGGGGACCCGCAAGGCTCACGGTGGATTGAAGCGTGTCCTTCCCAGGAATCCTGTGTACGCCAGGTAGAAGGGGGCTGGACAGCGCTATTAACGATCTAATTAATTAATTAATTAGATTTGTATAGATAGCACCTTAACGCCGAAGCACCAAAGGCTGGTAATAGAATTTTCCTATAATGAACACTAAATGCTTCTTGGTCAATAAGCAGTAAAACAGCCAAGTCGAGGGAGGGGTCTGAAAAGGAAGAGAAGAAAAGTGAGGCCTGAGCCTCTAGAAGACCCAGGTGACACCGCGGGAGACCCCGTGCCCCGTCTCCCAGCCCTCGGACCCCGTCCGCCCGTTCTGGACCCATTCCCACCCCCGCGGGGGCCGGGCCAGGGGAGGACACCGAGCTCGGGCCCTCCGCCCTTCCCTGCCGCGCTCTCCTCCCGGGGCTCCCAGCTCTCTTGGGGGGTGAAAGTTCACTCTCCGTGGACAGTTCCCGGGTCTGAGCCTCTCTCCTGGGCTCCTGCATGTCACAGTATTCTCTCCAGC